AAGGGCTACCGAATGATGTTAAACAATTCTGTTGAACCGACTCTTCCGTTTTACGGTTCTGCAAGTCAAGCGCTACGTTTTCAGTTACTAGCTCACGGGAATGTCCCAACTGATATAGCTCTTGCGAGCATGGATCTAAGTGTGTTTGTGTGTACCTATCAAGGTCTCCTTTCTGCAGGATTCAGGCCTTGCGCTTGTCGGGAGTGGCAACCACCAACTTGAGCATGGTGCCAAGGCTCACGAAACATGGAACTTCAATGCCTCTGAGAAGGGCGTCGTCAACCTTCATGCATATTCCTGTTTGTGTGTTAATGCTTGCCATTAGGGCCATTAGGGGCTCCTCTTATTCAATCTGAGCACAATGCCTGCAGTGGAGTGAAATCTCTTTACTGCTGATGATCAGTGGTGCAACAAGCCATGCAACCTAATCACGAAAAGGGAGCGCAGTGCAAGACGTTTAGACCAAATGCCTGTGCTGCGCACGGTAGCGAAGAGAAGCCCACTGCACTCTCCTCTACCAAAAGGCCGCTTGCTGCACAGGGCACTGCGTCCAAACCCCTTAAGGTGCAGACTTGCCATGCCCCGTGGAAAACTTGCATCGCAAGAGGTGGTGAAACCAAAGCACGCCAACATCATACACGTCTGCCTTAAACAAAGAGTGCCGTGGAATTCATCGCCTTTGGAGCTCCCAAATACTCCGCAAGTGCGGAGATAACTCGCTGGTCAGACAGGATCCCAAAATGCGTGCAGTTTGGGAAGACTTTTGTTGAAACACTGTCTGTCTTGGGCCAAACCTCCTCGACTTGTTTCAGGGACACCAGGTTGACCAAACCATCCCCGTCACCCCAAACCGTCTTCTGGTCTGCCTTGTCGAAACCATCGAAGAGGTCAGTGTCAAAAAAGAAGCTTTCACCTGGCGGGTTTGCTTGAGCCGTGCCGTGATTCAAAGTAATTTCGCTCCCCGTGCCTGTTTTAATGCCAGTGGAGTACCAGTTGTGCAGTTGAATGTTGACCGGCGCACTTTGGAGTTCTCCATATGGCCCTTGCAACTTGTCGAACAAGGCACCAGTCTGATTCCCCCAGGTTGATTTGCCAATTGTACGGACCAGCTCAGGGACATCCGCCGCAGTGTAGTTACGCGAAGGGGTAATGACAATGGGATTATCTCCGAACGCTTTGGGATGAGGGCTCATCCAAACACCACCTTAGACTGACCGAGGTTGTGGCACGGCTCATTGAAATGTCTTGGCTGCCTTGATATCTGCTGACAAGCTGCTACTGGCGTTGACTTGAACACGCCTGACATAGTCGTGTGGGACTAGCCAGGTTGGCAGGCCCAGCGTCCATCCTCCTAGGTAGGATTGCACCAAGGTCGTGCCTCCCATCCACGGCGATGACAAGGCAACCCACCCATGGATATACTGTGCTTTCCACTGGTCGGAGACGTACTTGTGAAAAAAGTATAGGATCGTAGGACATCCTCAGAGACTAGCCCACGCAATGAACAAATAGAAGGGAACTGGTGTGTTTACTCTACTACATTGAGAAAGTCAAACGGTGCAAAGAGCAGTACACTCATGTGGTGGGCTATCTTGGAGAGCAAGCTGCCAATTGAGGAACCCCGCAACCAACCACCCACCTCACCCTTCCAGACACAAATGGTCAACTGCAATCAGACTCTCAAACATGCAATAAGCAGAATGAAGACCACAAAGACACCCAACGAGTGAGAGAGCACCACTGCTGGCTGGCCATTGGCCTCACAGCGGGCAACCCAAAAGCAAACAAACAGGTGCAAAATGAGACGAGGGCTGTGTATGCCTGCGATTCTTGTGAACCAGTTGACTCAACCAAAACACGTGTGAAACTGCCCGGTCGCAAGGAGAGGCTGATGCACCCTCAAGGCCACAAAGTCTGACCAGCAGCGTTTCCTTTTGAGGGCAGGGTTGTTGGGGAATGATCAAAGGAACTGAGTCAACAAGTCTCTAGTTTTCGGGTTTGCACCTTGCTAAAGGGTGGCGGTGTTGCCCTCAATTTCCCTGAGATCAGAAGTTTGGTGAGCTCAATTCCTGAAAAAGTCTCTATTCAGAACGAATTTTTCTTTGGATTCACGCGCTTTGGGCCCGCAAAGTCAGCAAGGCAGTGGTGCCCTCACAGCTTGCACACTGGCAAGGCTTCACTCATAATGGGTTCCGCGGGCACGGCAACTTCCACGGGCACGGGAGAACTGCTACGGGCACGGCACGGGCACGGCGCCCAGGTAGCAAGATGGTGAACAGATTTTGCCTTGGTCCGCGCTCCTAATTCTCATACATCAAAGAGAGAGCTAAGTATTAACCATAGTAACATTGGTTGAATTGGGACCTAAATGCCGTCCGAGAATTTTATCGCACCATGTCCTCGGCTTGTTCGATTGTAGGTACAACCGTCCCATCAAGTTCCCGACCGCCTGCTCGATAGGCCATCGTTCACTCTCAAGTGGACAGCTGTCGCCCATGAACGGTCATAATCCCAATAATAAATTGTCTTGCTCACGTGGTGATTCAAACTCTGAGGCAGAAGTTCTCGGAGATACCCCGCTGCGGAGAAATTGAAAATGAAAATAAAAGGGCCACAGAAGAAGGAGGCGGCTTTCCGGATCAATAGCGTTGTCCAGGGTTGGCGGATTTGAACAAGAAGGTGTTGGACATTGAGCTGCGGCTAATGTTTAGCAGCTTTTGCCGGTTAAGCTTGCCAGCACGCCTATTCATTAGATCGCCCCCATGTAGAGTTTCATTTCCCTGCGCACTTTCCCAAATGCACTCTTTGCAGGCGCTGTCAGGCTCTTGCGGGCCCCGCTGCTGAAAACGGTAAAGGAACACAGAAGCGGAAGGTGGCTTGACAAGCAGTGCCCACGCTGACTCATGTGTGTGGATCTCCGATAAACTGAGGTCGAGAGCTTAAGAGCCAGCCAAGCCGGCGAATTAAGGCGTTACAGACCTTACTATATATATACACGCAAAAGGCAAAAAAGGGGTTGGCGTCCGAGGGTGATGAATTTCTAGGTCGGACGGGTTCCCCCAGTGCAAAATGTGTGGGCTGACTGAGCATCAGTTGATGTTGCGCTCAAATTGCAAGCTTGGGCATCTTAACAGCTTTGCTGGCAAACAATTATTTTAGTGGGAATGCAGGGTTGGATTTCCATGGTTTGGCATCCGACGGTTGCGACCCAAAGTTTGAGGGCTGGCAGTGGCAGGAGGAAGGGTTGGAGTTTCTCGGTTGGGCTGTTGAGGGGCCATCAGTTGATGTGTGCGGTGTTCAACTTGCAGGGTTCGGCGTCTGGGGTTGGAGCCCAACAGCTTGAGTTCGCTCGCCTTTTTTAGTGGAATTCCGGCCTTTTATTGGGAATCCAGGGTTGGATTTCCATGGTTTGGCGTGCAAGGGTTGGAATTTCTGGTTGGCGCAAACTGTGTGGGCTGATGGGCCATCAGTTGATGCGTGCGAAACTTGCAGGGTTGGGCATCTAGGGTTGG